CCCTTTGTTGGGTGATCTTCTTATTTTTAAACTTTGTAATACTATCCGCTATGATTTATCTCCTCCCTCGTTATGCTCTCTCACCAGTTTTGGGGAGTTTCAAGTTGGTATCAGAGCGCTAGTTTAAGCGAACTAGGTATGGGATTAAGATGCCTAGACTTAAGCTGATTTTGTAAGTTTTAGATTGTGAGACGTGGGTAGAAACTTTAAGATAGGAAAACCTTAGGGTCGTCGGGGTTGCATAATTCATGAAATTGTTGCGATGGTGTTGAGGATCCTTATGTATAACCTATTCAAAATTCCACTTAGCTAATGCTATTTTGAGTAAGTTGTTGCATGAGCATACTTGGACGCACTGTTATTACAAAATTATGATTGTGTCGATACCGTATTATGTTAGTTTTATATATACATATTCTTCTCATTCTAACTCTCTATCACTCTCTTGTACAAGAAGACTTTATGGTGAACACTCGGAGTAGATGGGATACATCCCCAGAAGGTCATGCGGTGACAGAATCAACCGCGGATCAACCGCCACGAATCACCATCGCGAGGGTTCATCCTAGACAAAATATCTTGAGTGGTGGGTTTGATCCCGTTCCCTAAGTCAACCTTGTCACCTCTAACCCCGTGTTAGAAGAGGAAACCTGGAGTCAAGAATGTTGGGCACAATGATGAACGTTATGAACAGAGCTATGACCCAACAACAAGAGTTCTTTTTAAAGATATTGGAGGATAGAGATGCCAACAATCGCAAACATGAAGCGGTTGCCGAGAATATAACCAATGTGGGATCTGGGGGTACCGAAAATGGAATCCCAACTCAAGAGCTGGAAACGATTGATGCAAGACAAGTGGGAAGAGTTTTCTCCTACAAGACGTTTCTAAGCTGCAAACCACCGGAGTTTGTGGGTGCAGATGATCCCGTGGCATGCATGAACTGGCTTCGAGAGATTGAGCAGGCCTTCCGGGCTTGTGACTGTGATGAAGGACAAAAGGCGAAATTTGGCTCTCAAATGCTAAGGGGTGCGGCCCTTACCTGGTGGAACATTGTCATATCAACCATAGAGGCCCAAGAACTAGCCAAGATGAGTTGGGCCACATTCAAGGAGAAAGTATTGGAGGAATATTGCAATGAACAAGAGATGGACCACATCGAAGAAGAGTTCCGAACCCTAAAGAAGGGAAACTTGTCTGTGAGGGACTACACACGACTCTTAATGGAAAAACTAAATTTGGTGGGGCATGTGGCCCCAACGGAGAAAGAAAAGATGAAGGCTTATTTAAAAGGGTTGCCCGCAGACATGATGGTAATGGTCAGGAATTCCAGAGCCTCCACCCTTAGGGAGGCAATCAAAGAGGCAAAAGTCATGGAAACGGTTTATGCTAAAGGAAGAGAAGAGAAATCGACAAGTGGCGAGAAAAGGAAGTGGGAAGGTCATTACGCACCTTCCAAGAGACCAAGTCACCTCAACAACAACCGGGGAGTTTATCCTAAACAAGAGGCTAGATGGTGCTCCAAATGTCGTACTAAGCACCACGGCCCGTGCACCACCAACCCTACTCCTGCAAAATGTTTTAAATGCGGGAAGCCAGACCACACGCGAAATGAGTGCCCTATCAAAGGACCCATCTGTTTTGGATGCGGAGAGCCGGGTCATTTCAGGAATGACTGTCCGAAGATGAAGGATGGAGGGGTCAGGGGAGAAAAGAAAATACCCCAAAATCAGTAGTCCGAGCCTTTCAAATGACTGCTGAGGAAGCTAAAGCATCGTCGGAAGTGGTGTCAGGTACGTTCCTTGTTAACTTCGTACCTGCATACGTACTTTTTGATTCTGGTGCTTCATGTTCCTTTGTGTCCATTACTTTCCATCAACACCTGCATGCGCCCCTAGTGCACTAGAAGATGCATTGATCATAGAGATAGCAAATGGTAGCCAGGTTCTGGTGCGCGAAATTGTTAGGAATTGCGTGTTAGGAATCGAGGGAAAGGAATTTCGGGTAGACCTCATACTCATGGCTATAGGTGGATTCGATGTCATAATTGGGATGGATTGGTTGGTAGAGAACCAATCAGAAATCTTATGCTCTAAAAAGTTGATCCGAATTCCTTTGCCGGATGGGGACGCAGTGCTAGTTTGTGGAGAAGGAAGGAAAGGAAATGTAGTACTCTTATCCACGACGAAGGCACGTAAGTGTTTAGCTAAGGGATGCTCCTCGTTCGTTGCATACGTGTTGGATGCCAAACTAGAGAAAAGAAAAATTGAAGATGTGAAAGTTGTCAAAGAATTTCCCGATGTATTCCCTGAAGACTTACCCGGCTTACCGCCCGATAGGCAGGTGGAGTTTCGGATCGACCTCATTCCGGGGACCGCTCCAATTGCTAGAGCCCCTTACCGTTTGGCGCCATCTGAAATGCAAGAGTTGATGGCCCAATTACAAGACCTTCTGGAGAAAGAGTTTGTCAGACCAAGTTCTTCACCGTGGGGAGCCCCAGTCTTATTTGTAAAGAAGAAGGACGGCACCATGCAGATGTGCATTGATTACAGAGAACTCAATAAGGCAACCGTGAAGAACAAATATCCTCTTCCCAGAATAGACGATCTTTTTGATCAACTTCAAGGAGCATGTTGCTTCTCAAAGATCGACCTTCGTTCGGGGTATCACCAAGTACGAGTAAGAGAAGACGATGTGTCGAAGACAGCTTTTAGAACAAGATATGGACACTATGAATTCTTGGTCATGCCTTCCGGTTTGACGAATGCACCGGCGGTATTCATGGACTTGATGAACCGAGTGTGCCGACCATTCCTTGATAAGTCAGTGATAGTGTTCACTGACGACATACTCATCTATTCCAAGGACGAGACGGATCATGAACAGCACCTTCGAGAAGTTCTCGAAGTGTTAAGAAAAGAGAAATTGTATGCAAAATTCTCCAAGTGCGACTTTTGGCTAAGCGAGGTCCAATTTTTGGGTCACGTTGTCACTCGAGACGGGGTGAAGGTGGACYCATCCAAGATCGAGGCGATGATGAAATGGGAACCACCAAAGAACCCATCAGAAATCCGAAGTTTCTTGGGTCTTGCGGGTTATTACAGGAGATTTATCCAAGATTTCTCCAAGGTCGCTTCTTCCTTGACGGCGTTGACTAGGAAGAATGTGAAGTTTCTTTGGACAGAGAAGCAAGAGCATGCTTTTAGAATTCTCCAAAAGAAATTATGTGAAGCCCCGATTCTCTTCTTACCCAAAGGTCCGAAGACTTTGTAGTTTTTAGCGACACTTCGAAATTGGGGTTGGGTTGCGTTTTGATGCAAAGGGGAAAGGTGATAGTATACGCCTCAAGACAACTCAAAGATCATGAGAAGAATTATCCCACCCACGATTTGGAGCTAGCAGCGGTAGTGTTCGCCTTAAAACTTTGGCGACATTACCTCTATGGTACCAAGTGCATGCTTTTCACTGATCATAAGAGCTTAAAGTACATTTTTGATCAAAAAGAATTAAACATGAGACAACGACATTGGCTCGAGCTGCTCAAAGACTACGATTGTGAATTGCTATACCACCCGGGTAAGGCAAACGTAGTGGCAGATGCTTTGAGCAGAAAGGAGTACGGTAGTGGGACGAAAGTTTTGCTTACCAGGATCGATTTGGTGTCCAGTCTAATTGATCGAATCAAGGAGGCGCAATCTGAAGCACTTCTGGAAGAAAATATCAAGGGTGAGGTAATGATTAAACAACGCTTACTACTGACAGAGGATGGTCGAGGCTTGAAGTTGTTTCAAGGGCGCATATGGGTACCCAAGATTGGAGGCAATCGTGAACTGTTACTAGGAGACGCGCACAAGTCTAAATACTCCATTCATCCGGGAAGCACCAAGATGTATCGGGACTTGAAATTGACATACTGGTGGCCTGTCATGAAACTGGATGTGGCACGTTACGTAGAAAGGTGCGTGACTTGTTTGCAAGTGAAAGTGGAGCACCAACGACCTTATGGTAGCCTCCAATCCTTGGAAATCCCCGAGTGACCAAAATGCCGAAGACCTTAAGAAACCATGATACGATTTGGGTAGTGGTTGATCGGCTGACAAAGAGCGCTCACTTCTTAGCAATGCATGAAACGTTGCCCCTGGAGAAGCTTGCCAAGTTATACATCGATGAAATAGTCTCAAGACACGGTATTACGTTGTCAATAGTATCGGATCGAGATAGCCGATTCACATCCCATTTCTGGAGCGACTTACAGAAAGAGTTGGGAACGAGGGTGAAGTTGAGTACAGCTTACCATCCTCAAACCGATGGTCAAAGCGAGCGAACCATTCAAACCCTTGAAGACATGCTTAGATCATGTGTTATCGATTTCGGCGGGAATTGAGATTCTCACCTACCCCTGGTGGAGTTCTCCTATAACAATATTTATCATTCCTGCATAGGAATGACACCTTTTGAGGCGTTGTAAGGACAAAAATGTAGAACTCCAGTGTGTTGGCTAGAAGCGGGTGAGAAACAGTTTGTTGGTTCCGAGATTGTTCAGGAAACGACCGATAAGGTGAAGTGTATTCGGAAACGGTTAAAGGCGGCTCAAGATCGACAAAAGAGTTACGCAGACAAGAGGAGCCGACCTATGGAATTCCAAGTGGGCGACCGTGTAATGCTAAAGGTGTCCCCTTGGAAAGGCATTATCCGTTTTGGAAAGCGCGGGAAGCTAAGTCCCCAATTCCTTGGACCGTTTAAGGTCTTGGCTAGGGTGGGACTTCAAGCTTATAAATTAGAACTGCCACCAGAAATGACCGGAATTCATAACACATTTCATGTGTGTTACCTTCGTAAGTGTTTGGCGGAAGAGGAAAGTGTGATACCACATACGGAAATACGCGTGGATAAGGACAACCGATGTGTTGAAGAACTGGAAGCCATATTGGAAAGAAAGACCAAAACACTAAAGCACAAAGAGGTTGTCTTGGTTAAAGTTCAATGGAAGCATCATCGAGGGTCGAACGTGACTTGGGAAGCTAAGGAGGATTTGAAGAGACGTTACCCCCGCCTTTTCGCATGAGCCAAAATTTCGAGGACGAAATTTAATTCTAGGTGGGGAGAATTGTAACACCTAAAATTTAAGATCACGACCGACTACATGACTGGTTAGGTTGATGTCAATGGTGTTAAACCTGTAAGTGATGCTCTGCAACGTTGATCTTTGACTTACTTTGTGTTCCGTCAAAATCAACGGTAAATCGGGTCTTCCCCGTCATCTTCGGATGTTTGGCTCTCCCACGGTTTGTTTTGGACTTGTTGTTCCGGTTATACCGAATAAAGTTACGTTA